TATGGGGTGAGCTTTGTGTATGGGGGCAGGAGGAGGAGGAGGAGGAGGCTTGCCTGGGTATAGTTTCTAGTTTCTTCATCTCTTCCCCATCAGGTTGTGGTTTGTGAACCCACAGAAAGTTCAGGCAGTTTCAATGAAAGAAAATAATGCTTTGGAGGATTTTGTTTTTCTTTTCTTTTTTTTAAAATATTTTATTTGTTGTATTTATTTTGTGTCCATGAGTGTTTTGACTGGATGTATGTAAGTGTATCCATGTCATGCAATGCCCATGGAACCTAACCAGAAGAGGGCATTTGATCCCCTGGAAGTGGTGTTACTGATGGTTGTTAGCAGTCATGTGGGTGCTGGAAACTGAACCCAGGCAGCTGAAGAGCAACCAGTGCTCTCAAGCATTGTACCATCTCTCTAGCAGCCCCTGTTAAGTTTTGTTTTAACCCCAGGGGAAAGGACCCAAGGCCTTAAAATATTGCAGGCATTTCGAAGGATTGCATTCATTTTCCTAAGACCTTTAAACCAAATCCCTTCCAGTGCCCCACTGAGGAGCTGAGACCCGGATGGGACAAAGAAATCTGTTCCTCTCCTTGGTCTGTTTGGGTTTTGAGCCTCTCAGCTCTTCCTGTTCTGGCCTGAGTAACTGTCCTAGGTTCACTCCACCCACATGTGCTGCATATGATCCACCCAGGGCCTTTTCTGTGGCAAGATAATGTGAAAAACCCCATGTGAACCAAAACCAATAAAAACTTCCATTTTTAAGAGAAAAAAAATTTTTGCTATGTTCAAATTAGACTTATCCCAGAAATTAAATGATATAAACTTACTTGATTGCTATTAAAATTTTTATTAATAAAATTCTCCATGTCACCCTATTTTAAGGAAAAAGTTACATTACCTTATTTTAAAAGGTCAACACTCAAATAATATGTAAAAAAAAAAAAAAGTATATTTTAGAAAGCAATTTCCTTAACTTGAAAAGTCACATAGTGATGCTTAATTTTGGTTGTTAACTAGCCTGAGAGACACTGGCAACACTGGTAGGTGTGCTTCTTGGAGTGTCTGCTAGGGCACCTCCAAAGACTGGCATATAAGCCTTGACCTGGGCAGGCACAATGTGTCCTGAAAATGAGCCCTACAATTTGCTGGCTGAGGGTCCTGGTGGGACAGAAATGCAGAAGGAAGGGGAGTGACTTTCCCCTACTGCCAGGCTTTTCTTCCGCCCTTGGACATCAGAATCCAGTTCTTCAGGCTTTGCTCTTTGGGACTTGTACGGCTGTCTCTCCAGGGCCTTCTGTCACTAGCCTCATCACAACACTCTGTGATCTTGTAAGCCAGTCTGAACAGATCTATATACAACTTTTTCCTGTTGCTTCTGTTCTCTAGAATCCTGACTAATCCATTACCAAAACCAGCAAACATGATTGTTGAAGACACATGGGCACATCCTTAAAGATCAGGAATGAAGCAAAGATGTTCTACATCTCCCTGCCTACCTCCACTTCAACACTGCACTGGGGTTTGAGCCAGTGAGGAGTTAAGAAAAGAGAAAAAGGTAAACATGTAAACTTTTATAGAAAAGAATGTGTGGGTCTTCACACAGTTAAACATGGAACTACCATGTGATTCAGTTATCTCAAAAAGAACTGAAATCAGGGACACAGAGATGACTCATAGTATGACTCACCATTGACAAAGGGTAGTTACAGAGCCGAGTATCAGCAGCAGGCAAACAGATTAATGGAGTGCAGTGTCAGCTACAGCAGACGCTATTCTGCCTTGCAGTGGAAGGAAACACTGGTGTATGCTACAACATGAAATAAACCAGACACAAAAAGACAAATATTGTGTGTGTTAGTATTTGTTGATGTAACAAAACACTCAAGAGAAACAATTTAAAGGAGAAAGGATATTTTTGTGCTCACAGGTTCAGAGGTTTCAATCCGTCCTGGGGGGGATGGGCATGTTAGACCAGAGCTGTCCCTTCATGATAGTAAGGAAAACAGAAGGGAAAGGGACTGAGAACCAGACAGTCACTTCAAAGGGATGCCCCACCTGGGACCTACATCTCCAGCTAGGCCCCACCTAAAGTGACCACAGCCTCCCAAATAACACCGCCAGATGGGGACTGAGTGTTCAATGCATGAGCCTGTGGGCGACATCTCATATTTAAACCATCGCAATGCAAAACCATGTGTGTGAGGTAGCCAGAGCAGTCAAATTTGTACATGCAGAAAGTAGAATGGTGCACAGCCACAAATGCTGGCAAGGATGCGGAGCAAAGAATCCTTATATATTGCTGATGGAGATGCAAATGAGTGCAACCTCTGTGGAGGCGCCTCAGAAACTGCAGATAGAGCTACCGTAAGGCTCAGCTGGACCACTTCTGGGTACTTCATGAAAGAACTCCACATCAGCATATGACAGAGATACTAGCACATCCATGCTTTATTACAGCACTGTTCACAATAGACAAGACATAAAACTGGCCTAGGTGTCCATGAGGGGACAAATTGATTTTTCTAAATGTTGTGTAAATGCACAATGGAGTTGTATTAAGCTAGAAAAAAACAGGGGTCTGAGGAGTCCGCTCAGTAGGTAAAGTGCTTGCTGTGCAAGTGTGAGGGCCCGAGTTCAGGTCCCTTGAACATATGTAAAAGCCTGGTGTGGTGGTGCATGCCTGTAACCCCATTGTTGGGGGGCAGGAGGTGGCAAGGACAGGTGATGCTTGGGGATTGCTGCCCAGCCTGTCTAGCCAATTGGTGAGCTCCAAGAGTACTGAGAGACCCAGTCTCAAAAAAATAAGGAAAAGGGTTGAAGAAAACACTGAATATTGGCCTTTGGACTCCACCCACACATGCACAAGCACCCACAGGTACACATGCACACACAAACCTGGGGGCAGGAGGTGGCAAGGACAGGTGATGCTTGGGGATTGCTGCCCAGCCTGTCTAGCCAATTGGTGAGCTCCAAGAGTACTGAGAGACCCAGTCTCAAAAAAATAAGGAAAAGGGTTGAAGAAAACACTGAATATTGGCCTTTGGACTCCACCCACACATGCACAAGCACCCACAGGTACACATGCACACACAAACCTGTACACACACAGATACCACACACATACAAAAAAAAAAAAACCCAGAATTATGTCTTTTGGAAGTAATCATAATGAGCAAAATAAACTCAGAAAGACAAATATTTATCTTATAGTGGAATTTATACATTTATGAAAAGGTCATAAAGAAACCCATCCCTGTGTATACTAACTACAAAGAAAATTCCAAAGAGAAAGGAGTGAAGGGTAGCAGGAGCTAGACCCGACACGGAGCTGGTGTTTGATTTGGACAGGTTTGAGAGGACATCCTGGAGGTGGATGGTGGCGATGCCGGCACAACAGTGAAAATGTGCTTGACCCACTGGGATGAACAGCTAAAGTTGGTCAGGTGGTGGTCATTTCTTGTTTGTCTGAGACAGATTTTCACGGCGGCCTCATAGCAATCTTCCTGCCTCCACCTCTCCAGTGTTGGGGTTACAGGTATGAGCCGCCATACCAGGCTTTAAATGGCATATTTTTGTCATGAATATTTATCACATTTTTGTTAATAGAAGTCATGTCTCCCAAGAAGGGCCTTTATCATGACTTCTCAATAACACCATGTCCTGAAAACTGACCCTCCTGCAAAGTATAGGGTGATTGATTATATTTTGTGAATGAGGATGTTCCAGAGACAATAGACAAAAGTGGCATATAATTTTTTAAAATATTTTATTATTTTTATTTTATGTATATGAGTATATTGCCTGCATGTATGTGAGTGCACCATCTCATGCAATGCCTCAGAGGTCAGAAGAGGGCATCAGATCCCCCTGGAACTGGAGTTAAGGATGGTTCATAGTCACCATGTGGGTGCTGGGAATCAAACCTGGGTCCTCTGCAAGAGCAGTCAGTGCTCTTAATCGCTGAGCCAGCTCCAGCCCTGGCATATAACTTTTTAAAAGAGTAAAGCATTTTAATAATATTATGAAAGAGGTCTATGACCCCTTCCTCAAAAGCATGAGAGCCTCTCTGAAGGCCTCCCCCATCAGTCACTACTCCACCGCACCTCCTCTAGGCCTGTAGGTATGGCATAGGCTGGACCAAGGCATTTCTTCACGCATCCCATTTCTTCCCCTTCTCCTCTCCCCACCAACTTTTCCTTTGATTCAAAGTAGTTTTTTTAAACCTTAACTGATTGAAGCATGTTTCTTTTTCAATTTTTAGGTGAGTGTGAGTCTGAAATCAACTAAACTTCAGGTGATTTCCTGTTCTCACTTCTTGCATGATGTATTCACAGGCCTGGCTCTGGCTCAGCAGCCTGAAGCCAGAAAGCTCTCACTGCCTATCCAATGATTAGAGCCCTTCAAATCATGTCCCAAGCCAGAAGCCATTGCCAGCTGATTCCTGTTGAGTCCATATTTTGCATTTCATACAGTCTGCATTTTAACAAAGTAAAGACCGCTGGCTCTGGCTTCTGGTCTGCCAGGGTGCTGATTGGATTCCGGGGGCGGGGGGGGAGTGGAACATCTATCCAACTTCAAAAATGGAAGGAAAGAAAGAGAGAGAGGGAGGGAGGAAGGGAAGAAGAGAGGGAGAGGAAGGAAGGAAGGAAGGAAGGAAGGAAGGAAGGAAGGAAGGAAGGAAGGAAGGAGGGAAGGAGGGAGGGAGGGAGGGAGGGAAGGAGGGAAGGAAGGAAGGAAGGAAGGAAGGAAGGAAGGAAGGAAGGAAGGAAGGAAGGTAGCACACTCCTTTAATCCCAGCACCTGAGAGGCAGAGACAGGTAGATCTCTGTGAGATCTGGGCCAGTGGTCTACACAGTGAGTTCCAAGTCAGCTGTGGCTACAGGGAGACCTTGTTTAAAAAAAACAAAACGAGACAAAACAAAACACAACAAAACTGGAGGGAAGGACATGGCTTAACCCTAATGAATTCTAAGACTTTTATCTTTAAAAAATGCTTTTATTTCCATTTTAAATGAGCTGCATTTTTAAGTACTTGCATAAAATAGCAAAAGGCACTTACATTCCTTGCTTTAGCCCTTCCTGCTCACACAGAGTGAGAAGGGAAGGCCTGCCGAAGCAAAAGACAGCAGAACCCAAGTAGCCTAAGGCTCCGGGTACTGACACACACACACACACACACACACCATGCATCAAGGGATGGCTAATAGTCATCATAGTTGACACCAGCTCCGTGCCTAAAGCTTTCAGGGCTCCGGGGACCGATGGCTGCATCTTCGTCATAGTGACGCTGGTAGTAATCGCCATAGTAGTCGTGGCCATTTCGATCTCTATTTAGCCAATAGCTGACATCATCTTCAAATTTCTGGAGGAAAACAATGGAGAATGGATTTAAAGATACACACTCCTTAAAATCCCATCCTAACTGGGGCTTTTCAACAAGGTGGCTTCTCTTCAGTGATTGACAGCCCTTGCTATGATGCTGCTTGTTATAGTGTTTTGTTTAAAGGTCAACAGAGCTTTAGGATACCAATAAGGAGCTATTTCCCACCAAAGGAATTTATGCCTGCTAGCTAGAAATATACCACACACTTAAGCATCTTTCTCGAGTTAAATACAACGTGAATCTATCAATTGCAGTAACAGCATGGTTGGCCCTGAGGCATTGTCCACATTTCACTGTGACAGATTCCTTGTCTTCCTATCCTGTCCCTGTGCCTGGTCCATCATGTGTTGGCTGAATTCAGTCAACCACTGGCATCCTGGGGCAGGTGGCATTTGGGATACATCAGATGGTGTCTCTTGTACACCTGTGTTCTTGGTTTGAGCATGCACAGGTGTGAATAGTCATTGTACAAATGCTGTGAAATGGGCTCTGGGTATCAGGCCCTGTGCAGGCACTTGGAGAGCTGCCTAAAACAAGATAGAGCCAGACTCTCAAGAAGCCTGAAGTCCCTTAGACAAAATTGTGAAAGGAGTCAGCCACCATTAAAAAAAGGGAGGGGGGGGGTTGGAGAACGAATGGTAAAGATGGGCAGAATGATGCTCACACTTTTCAGTTCCAGTGACTGATCTTTGCTACCAATTGATTTTACAAAGAAAGTCTAATATTTCTTTGGTGATGGTGACCGTGCAAGATGAGGATTTACACATGCCAATTTAGGATAAGGGCCAGATACTGAGCACCCGACAAAGACAGCCTGGGAGCTGGAGCAGGCTGAGCAGTTTGGGCTTCAAAGTCCTGGCTGTGGGACTCTACAACCAGATCACCACTGAGGCCTGCAAATGCAGATTCTCTGGCACCACGCCAGCCTTCTAGATTGAATTTTCCAGTGGTTGGATCTCAGGAATCTAATTTCATTTTAGTGGGATTGCCAGCAAACTAACATAGTCCAATCCTGACCTTAGAATAACATGAAGGCCTTCAATAGAAACCACTCTTAATTCTCAATTTGGATCTTTTCCCAGTCTAGTGCTGCATGGGATGAGCCTCTCCAGTGATGCTGCAGTGAGACACGTGTCTGAGCTAGGATGGTGCTACAATAAGTGCACTGAAGGCATTTTTTATTCGTGTGCTTTCAATTTACCTTGGTTGAGGGGTATCTATACTGAGAATTTTGTTTAAGTGGGAAGCCCCAGACTGGCCCATGATCTAGGGCTCTGTGGCCCAATAGTCACCTTGAGGTGGACATCCTCCTGCACCTAAGAACATGGCTCCTCACATTGCTCAGATGAAGCAGGGGGATGTTTCTTCGCCTCCATGTGCCTCTAGCCTGGCTTTTCTAACTCTAATTGGACTTTTCTGACTTTTCTGGCAATACCTTTTTTTTTTCAGTCAGAATGAGATAGCCTACTTGGATTTTCTCATTTTATAAGGTTTGAAGTTTGGGTTTAAAATACATATTTTTAATAAACTTTAAGAGTGTTTTGTGAATATAGAAATAACAGCAGACTCGAGTTTGAATATATGAAGGCACCAAGATAAAGAGGGAGGTACCACTCCGATGCCGGGGAGTAGCGCCCAGGGCATCCGGCAGGCTTTTGTAACCTTTTTATGCAAGCTCACTCATTATAATCTTACTTAATCCTTGATTTTGTTACCAGACATTAGCTTTTAGACATTTTCTCATATTAAATTTTTAATAACTATTTAATGGAGATCATCAGAGATATTAATTACAAAAAGATGACATAACATTTTCATCTATCAAATAAATATATGTATTTAAATATTTCAAGCACAAGATGCTGCTGATGACTTTAGAAAATTGGCGCCCTCATCCAGGACTTATGGGAGTGTGCAGCTTGACAGTATGTAAGGATCTTTAGACATGATTCTACCTGTTTCCCAGTAACTCTGCTGGACAGAATGTAGATCTAATTGAGGGACAAATGAAACACATTGATGCAATGGGTACTTTCCCTTTGAGTTTGGAAGTAAGTTCATTTGTATAAGTCCTTAGAATTCTACCTGGCATAGAGGGTTGGCTGTAAGTAGCTGCTTGCACAGCAAAAGAAAAAGGGAAATTATGTTGGAGTGGCAAAAGGACATTTCTGGACTATGGATCTGTGCTCGCATCTGGGAGTTGGGAAGGAAGTGAGGATGCTGTCTCCTGACTCCATGACTCTGTTTCATGCTGCCTTAGAAAGGGTGCTTTTCTACCTGTTGCAGAATTTTGTATGCAATCCTCTTCAACACATGTGCCATTTAGGAAAGTATTTCAGCTGCCCAGCTATGGATGCTCATGGAGAGGCAGCTCCTCTGGACTCCTCAGCCACTCTGCAGTCTCCCAGGAGCAGAACCTAGAACTTCAGCCCTGCTGCCCTCTCACCGTACCTGCAGCCTCGGTGACAAGATGTGATCCAGAACAGTTTCTCTCTTAGCTTACTGGCTTTGCCCACTCATGCTGCCCACATACATGAGGAGTTTCAAATCAGCTTTACTCACAAGTGCATTGACTAAATTTCTACCAAACATCCACAAACACCAATCTCTCTTTAAAAATGAGGAGGAACCCAATAGAGGGATGCTTTTGGAAGCTCTCATCAAGAAATTCCAGTGGACTCTCATATGAACATTTGAAATTTGCCCTGTTCTGACCTTTTTCTGGTTCTCTGTCTAGAACTTGCAATACTAACTACTCTTGCCTTTACTTCTCCTTCACCTCTCCTAGGCACCAGTCAAGGACTTTCTTTTCTCCCTACAGTTAAGACTTATGCAATTTGGGAGTCTTCTAGAGACAGCCACTGAAGGGGTACCCCAATTGCCTCACACTGCATCCCTGTTCAGCTCACACTGTATCCCTGTTCAGCATGGAAGAAGCCAGAGTGGTCTGCATCCCAATTCCCCCTGGGCAATTTGGGTAACCTCTTCAGAGGATGGTGTGATAAGAATAGGAGGTAGGAATTGGCTAGGCAGTTAGTGTAAAAATACCCCAAAGAAACGTAGCCAGTTTCTTGGGTAAAAGTCAAAATGTCTTTGGGCCTGTTCCAAAGGCCCAAAATGTCAAAAGTATTTGGGAGCTCTTATCTAATTCCTAAAAGATTTTAGGGTTACCTCTTCGGGGGGGGGAATGTTAGAGTAGCAAAAAGCCTCACTTTAAAAAAGAAAGAAAGAAAGAGCACATGAAGTTGTCAGGAAAAAGTGGTGGGGAGATATGGGAGGAGTTGGAGGGGAGGGAGTGGGCATGAATTTGATCAAAACATCTTATATGCATGTATGAAATTCTCAATAAATTTTTTATAAGTTAAAAAAAGTCATTTAGCAAATCTCTCTCCATGGTCATTATGAGTCCCATGTCCATCTTGTTTCTACTATTTCTGAGGCAAAGCTGCCCATCTTTGGCAAGTTATTTTGAGGCTGCTCAGGCAAAACTGGGCAGCTGGGTTGAAAGTTTCTAGGAAAATAGGATTCCTGATGGCTCTGAGACACAGCCATTTGGCCCCTGACTTTCTTGGATTCTGCCCACCCCCTCTCCCCCTGCACCCCAGTTTCCTAGTGGGAAACCCCAACTGCTGGCCTCACATTGAAGGGCTCATATTTTTGGAATAAACAACAATGATTTGGCCACTAGTTTGTGTGCCCTCAGAATTCACTGAGAGAAGCTTGATGCCCAGTGTATCAGTGGTGAGGAGGTAGAATTTAAGGTGGAGCCCAGCACAAAGTACTTAGGTCATGCGGGTTTTACTCTGAAAGGACAAATGTGAGTTCTTACAGGAACTGACAGTTGTAGAGCAAATCCAGTGGGCACACTACTGCATACCTTGGGAGGTGGAGACAGGAAAATCAAGAGTTCAAGGTCATCCTCAGTCTCATAATGAGTATGAGGCCAGCCTAGGCTACATGTCACCCTGTCTCAAAAAACAAACAATGTAATGAATACATAAAGCAAATTCAGACTTGTTTCCTGCTTTGCATGTGACTGTTTCCACATACATATTTCTGCTATTATGACACAATTTGCCACGATGCCCTCACCAGAGCCAAGTACATGGTGACATCTTATTCTTGGACATCCAGAACTTCAAGCTAAAATAAACCTCTTTTCTTTATAAAGTACTCAGCCTCAGGTATTCTGATAAAGCGACAGAAAACAGATTATACTCAGAAGCAAAGACTGGTTTTCCAGTTCCTATTCTCCAGGCCAGGCTTCTGTCCCTCCAGTCCACCCTGCAGAATCCAGGGTCCCCAATAGGAAGGAACACCCACCGCCTCGTCGAAGCCCATGTACAGGAACTGCTGGTACCACTGCTGCACCTCAGGCCGGGAGCGATCCCACAGCTGCCGCTTGGCACGCTTCAAGCCTCCCAGGAACTCCTTTGCTTTGTGTTCATCCACAGCCATGTTGCTCTTGGCCAAAGCAGGTGCTGAAATGGTCAGTTCCCCACCCAAAAAGACAGAGGATGGTTTCTTTTTTAAAACAACAGTCCCTTTATTTTATTAAAACTTTAATGTGATTTAACTACATAATCCTTTTTTTATTTATTTTTATGTGTATGAGAGTTTTGCCTGCATGTATGTAAGTGTGCCACATAAATATGCCACATGAGAGCAATGCCTGCAGAGGCCAGAAAAGGGTGTTGGATCCCTTGGAACTGGAGTTATAGATGGTTGTTAGCTGCCATGTGGGTGCTGGGAACTAAACCTAGGTCCTTTGAAAGAGCAACAAGTACCTTAACTGCTGAGCCACCTCTCGAGCTCCCCATGTTTTTCCTTTAATTACATAATTGTTTACATTATACCACACAGTGCAACGATCTGATACATATTCAATGATCAAACCAGATTAATTGGCATTTCCCTCCCCTTAAACATTTATCGTTTCTTCATGCTGAGACTATTTGAGCTCTTTTCTAGTTATTTATAAAATATGCAATAGATTGCTCTGAGCTACGCCACCCTGCTGTGAAGCAGCACATTAGAACTTACTCTTCTGTGCCTGTGTTTGGGTATCTGTTCTCCAACCTCCCTTCATCACTCCCATCCCTAAGAATGACTCTGTTGCATGGTGCTGAGGACCAAACCCATGGCCTCTGACATGCCAGGCAAGCACTCAACCACTGAGTACCAGCCCAACTCTCTTTTTGAGTGAGGTCACTCTTACAGTCTCATCTACTGCACAGCTGTGTACGGCTTTGATTCCATCTTCATCCTTACAGCTGTGTGATAAAGTGTTGCCTCAGGTCATCAGTTTCTTGCTCCTTGTTAGTAAGTTTTCCTGTTTGTGCATAGCCTTCAACTTTGTTTGTTTACTTTGTGACTAACCTTCAACTACTAGGTTCTCAGAGTAGCAAAGACATCGAACTCATCCCTGAAGAACAGTCACCATGCCTGGAGCCCAGGCCATATTAGGGGCTGATTGTGCTCTGTATTCATAAGATGGAACTGGACATCTAATCCCACACGTGTACTATGTATATGAACTGCATATGCAAATATAAGAGTGTATATACATTGTATATGCAAACAAGAGGGTTAGGCTTACATAGAAGACAAGGTAAAAAAGAGCTGGAATGATGTGCCTGGAGGGAGCAGGAACAAGACCCACCTCACTCTGCAACAGATTCTTACATGTTAAGTTGTCTGCACACAGCATCCCCTTGGGCTGACTCTGGACTTCACAGGCTGTGCGTGGCTGACATGGTGAAGCCTTGAAATGTACCGACCTTGCTGTATCAGTACTTCTACCGTCTTCCCTCATAGTCTCAAACACTTAAATGGTACTACTTCTGCAGGACCTGCTTGGACCTGCTCTTGCTGTCCATTTGGAGACTCTGCCTCTTCCTCTATAAGACCAGACCAGATATCTTAACCTGGTGCTATTACAAAGCCTGCATGAATCAAGAAACTAAAGTAGGGGCTGGAGAGATGGTTCAGTCGTTATGAGCACTGGTTGTTCTTACAGAGGACACAGGTTTGTTTTCCAGCATCCACATGGCAGCTAGCAGCTATCTGGAACCTCTTCTGGCCTCTGTGGGCATTGTATGACATGGCTGCACTTACACACATGCAAAACATGATTCATTGATCACACAGCTAAGTTCCAGGAGTGATTTTAGGTTTTAACAAGCCTAAAAGTTTTAACAGACCCTTCAGGGCCTGTGGTAGTAGGATATATACAGTAAGTGCTCAATATATGCTTCTTGGCTTAGACTGAATAAAGGCTGAGAGGTATATACTCAGGGGTCGTGATTATTTCAGTGATTTGCTCATCTAGGACAGGCTGGCACTATGGGATCTCTGGACATCTATGAAGTAACAGTCTCTTGGCCAATTAGCACAAAAAGGGGACCTCTGGGCTACCTGCATGATTGGGGACAGAATACAGCCATATGGGTAGCTGGAGATGTTTGGAAGGATGCTGAGAGTCTGCCCAGGAACTTCCTGTCCCAGAGAGTGGTTGCCTGTGCTCCAGGAAGCCGTGGGAGCATCCCATGGTAAGTATGGGAATAAGTAATCAAGGGCCCCTCCTTAGGAACACCATTGTAAACTAGGAGGGAGGACAAGTGATTGATGGTCTCATTACAAATGTGTCTATAGTTTCTATTTTCTGGAATACCTAACTTCATAGAGAGAGATGAAGAGAGAAGAAAGGGTGCTCAGGAGACCACACAATGGATTCATTTGACCTGACTGATAGAGCCTGCCTTTTGTGATCCCCAGAATGTTCTAATTCTTTGTGGCCTTGCTGCTGCCTACCACGTAAGACAGGAACAGTTTCACAGCAGAAACTAGTAACAGAAAGGTTTTCCTGTGGGAATGCCTTTCCCTAATGGTTTACTGGACAGAGCACCAACACTGCCGTTCCATACCCACTTCACCAAGAAGAGTTAGCACCCTCAGGAGGATGCGCCCTAAGTTTGGATGAGTGCATCAAAGTGCTTCATGGGACTAAAATAAGCAACATTCAATTAACACTGTTGCACTGTTTCTGAGACCACACTGACAGTTTTCAGAAAAACAACCATCAAACATTTATAGCCAGTAATATTTATCTAGCAAAATAACATACCACACACCCACAGAACAAGCCTTTCAGATCTGCAAGCCTTTTAAGGAGTAAATACTTTTTGATCTTCCAAATGCAAGACTCCAGTGACCATACTGGCATTGCCATTCCATTTCCACGCAGTGAGGAGTCAATGCACCCCTTATCAACTCATTTACCTTCTCGTTTCTGCAGCATCTGCTTGAGTTTATTTCCACTTATGCCACCTAAATGAACAAAAGCAGAAATCAGTTTCAGAGTCACACCATTCCCTATAATTTATTGAATCCAAAACTCAGAATTGGAAATAAGAATCGAAAGTCTCTGCCTTGATTTGGCAGCTTGGTAGGTTTATAGTATCTAATGCATTTTGCATCCTTGTCACACAGGAAGGGCAATGCAGAGTGTCTGGGGCTACTACTGGTGACAATGACCATTGTTGACAAGGGCATTACCACTTGAGCTATTGCCTAGGGAAAGTGACCTTGTTCTTTTAGCGATGATATCTTATTGTGAGGATACCTTCCTGTCACATGCATCTCCCTGCTACCCTGACTTTAGGGTCCCAGAGTACCCCTGAAATTCATGTCCATCTGGGACCTCTGGAGGTAAGCTCATTTGGAAGCAGGGTCTTTGCAGGTGCAGTTTGTTAAGGATCTTAAGATGGCATCACTGTGGACTTAGGGTGGGATCTTAACCCAGTGATGTAGACTGAGTAGCTCTGGGAGACAAAGCCAGGTAGAAATGGGGCTCATGGTTCAAGCCTGGGAACACGTGGTACTTATCTAAGAAATCAACACAGCATTGCAGCTTGCTCTGATCATCCTCCAGTCAAGCATTATAGGGGGAGAGGCATTGACTGCTTAATGTATTCAGTTTTAAGAGTTTCTAATCAACCCAATCATTTTACAAGAAAGAATGTGTCTGGCCTGAAAGAACACCCTCCCAACTCCATCCAGTGAGCCTGTTTGAAACTCAAAGAAGCCTCTGGTTCTTAACTGTTACACACAGGAATGGGCTTGGTCTCATAGACTTCCGATCCAAGGCCCCTGGGGAAAATGTCTCCAGCATCAGAAGTAGGAAGTAGAGCATCACGGAGAATGGAAATCTCAAAGTAGTTTTAATTTGTACTTCTTTGATGACTAAGGATGATGAATGCCTTTTTAAATCCACAGAGATACTTTCATGCTCATGTCTATTGTGTACTACTCACAGTAGCTAAGAAATGAAGCTAGCCTAGATGTCCATCCACAAACAAATGGATAAAGAAAGTGTGGCACATAGACACAATGGAATTTTATGCAGCTATAAAGAAAAAGCAGATCATTTTCAGGAAAATGGATGGAACTGGAGATCATTATGTTAAATGAAATAAGCTGTATTATTCTAGTTTTGATTCCTTTTCCTTTTGATGAAATACTCTGACTAAAAGCCACTTTGGAGAGGAAAGGGTTTATTTGGCTTACACTTCCAAGTCACAGTCCATCATTGAGGGAAGTCAGGTCAGGAACTCAAGGCAAGAACCTAAACCATGACAAACACTGCTTGCTGGCTCACCCGGTTCATGTTCAGCCTGTTTCCTTGTACAGCCCAGAACCATCTGCCTGGGAAATGGCACTGCCCACAGTGGACTGGGCCCTCTTACATCAATTAACAATCAAGACAATCCCTCACAGACATGCTCACAGGCCGACCTGATAAAAGACATCACTCAACTCCAACTTTTTTTCAGGTGATTCTAGGCTATATCAACTTGATGGACAACTGCTAACTAGAACCCTAAGAAATAAAAATACCAAATGTTTGCTCTCACATGCAGATCCCAGATTTTAATTTTACATATGTGTATACATATTTATATTTAACTATATTTATATGTAATTACATATGGGGTATATATCATAAAACTAGGAAGGAGAACTTGAAAGAAGAAGAAATCTTAAAAGAGGGGGAAGGGCGAATAGAATACATGCAATATGAAATCAGAAAGGGGATGATTGCAGGGAGGGGGATGAAGGGGAATAGGAGGAGGAGACAGGGGAACAGAGGAGAGGAGGGGTCAGGAGGACCAACATATTATGAAAATGAAATGCCACAGTGAAACCCATTATGCCAATTTTAAAAACTAAAAAAAGAGGCTGGGTGTGGCGGTGCACACCTTTAATCTCAGCACTCAGAGGGCAGAGGCAGGCTGATCTCTCTGAGTTCGAGGCCAGCCTGGTCTCCATAGTGGATCCAGGTCAGCTGGGGCTACAGGGAGACCTTGTCTCAAAAAAGACAAACAAAAACAAAAACAACAAACAAACAAACTAACAAAGATTCCCTATTTTGGGCTTTGAATATAGCTCAGTGGAAAAACACTTTCTTAGCATGCATGAGGCCCAGGGCTCAATCATCAGTACTGCAAAAAATTAATGAATAAAATAAAAACCAATGCTTTGTCAATTATGCATGAATAAGGCTGGGAAAAAAACTTTTTAGTAAGAATGCCTGCAAAAATAGTTTACTATGTTATCAAGGAAGGAAAAAGTCAATATTCAAGGCAGTAGCAAGTTCTGCCTGTGTGCGTCAGTGCATCTGATATGTACCACATTCGAACATCTCTGAGTCCACATCATTCCCACAATGCACACTGCATACAGAACCTCACCTCCCAGCCCCCTGTAGCACTTGGATATGAGTACTACCCACTGACTGCCAGTACCACAGTACCATCCAGGGACCCTGGCCTGGCTTCTGGGGTGGGGTAGGGAAACTGCTAGAACTTCCTCAAGTGCCTCCCTGGTGATCTCATGGATATGGTAGCCACACTTTTAGGGCTTAGTACAGTCTCAGTTTATACCTGGTGTCTTGATAAAGCAATTCTAGAGCCTCCTTTTATTCTGAGGTGTCCCAATTTAGATAACTCACAGCTATCCTATTTTTAGAGAGTGGTTGGTTTGGAATATGAAGACTCTCTAGGGGCACCTCTAAGGGCCAAGGGACAGAGGTGGCACTTGTCCTCACATCTTGCACAGGGGAGCTGGTGTCTGCTGGACAGCGAGCTAAAGAGTATAGTGTGCCGCAGGCTACGGTGGTTTCTGTGGTCTGTGTTTGGGTCAGCCTGTGGCAATGTGGCTGTTTAAAAACAATTGCAATGTCAGGTGTATTAATGATGGACAGCCTCTAGAGAAAAATAACTGTCCTGTCTTTGCTCTGCCACTGTTCTGATCAGGCCACTTCTCTACAGTTCACAACATCTCACTTGGAGAAGGTCACTGAAAACCTCAAAAGAAGGAAACTTCTGGGAGGAGATTGTGGCTATTCTAGGTCACTGGGCCAGAGATGGGGGCAGATAATACTCCCAAAGCCTGGGCCACCACCCAAAGATGGAATAAATGACCCCAAGAGATTCCCAATCAAAGCTACTAGAGGTATCAGAACATAAATCAAAACAGTTGAGAACCCAACCAGGCTACTGGGCAGGCAATTATTTAACTATAAGAGGTGGGACTGCTCTTAAAGGATGTATTTCCCTCCCAACCTTAAAAGTCAATGAAGAAACCTATGAAAATATTTGCCAAGGCAGACAATATGTTCCTTGGCTCTAATATTAGCATTCATGAATATCTTAACATTTGTCAGTCTTTAACAAGTCACAGGGTAGCACATAAAGAATTAAGTATCACCCTCCATCTGTTTGCCTTCTGTAAAAGTGCTTAACAATTAATGAATGAAATGTGGTCCGAAGCTGAGAGAGACACCGGTCTCGGGCTTTTACCACAGGCTGCAATTTATTTTCAAGTGTGAGTCATTATTGCTTTAGAAATGAAAGGCCAACCTTAGCCTTTCTCTCTTTCTCTAGAGAGATCCCGTGCTTGAATTATGAATGCTGCCGTGGTGTCCATTCCTATACCTTCAGCTATACATTAATACACACAATTAGATGCCACGCTAAATCTCCTTGAGGAAAGGAGCAAAGAACAAAGGAATCGCTTCTCCCCAATTTCATCTGCTGCCATTTCCAGACTCTGACACTAGGCAGTCCTGCGTTTATCCCATCTGGTTACCTGGAATAGACTTCCCAGAGGACTGGGCACATGCAGAATTGCAACATACCCCTGTGAAGACACAACCACTAGCAAGCCAACCAAGAAGGGACAGACGGGGATCATTTTCTTCATGACATGTGATTAGATGACATAAGGAGTCACCCTTGAACCCCAAAATAATTTCATTTTATATCATAAAAAATTCACATTTCAGTTCAGTGATGGCAGGGCTGTAATGGATTTCTGTCAGTAACTTCTTGGTGTGAACTAAGTGAAACACGAGTCTTGAAGATGATAGCTTATAGCCAGTGCTCACAAGACTAACTCAAATGAGTGTATGGTGAGCTTCCCTGGTGGCTGGAATTTCCAACAGTAATCCTTCCAACTGGAACAGGCTCCCCATTATTCTAGTGGCTCCTAATGCATGACCCCTGCCTCCCGTCAACCTTGTTTTTTCTACACCGGCTTTGAGTAAGCAAAAACTCAGAAGTAGGGCATTCAAGAAGGTCTTCCATTAGCATTAGACAGTGCCCAGATACTTCATATGGGGACGAACACCAGTCTCAGGGGCTCGGGCAAATCACTTAGTGTCTTCCAGCCGGTCCCCTTCGCAGTTAATTAGGGCCACACTGCTCATATTCCAGAGTTATAAAGCTGCAGAGGAGCCCATGACCCACTAAGGGTCACACAAAGGGAGCATCTTGAGATTCAGAAGGCAGAGTCTGCGGAGCTCCAGGGTTCACAAGTCTGCCCCGGTCCTTGAAACCGCTTCCTCTTTGGGGTGTACTGTGAATGTACTTTTAACAGAGAAAGAACCGGGAGTTTTCAGACTTTTCAGCTAATTCACCAAGAGCTTCATGGAGTAGAAAAAGGTTAAGCGTTACTTAAGGGAGGCCCCTATCTGAAGTACCAGGCCCGCACCCAGCTTTGCAGCCTGCTAATCTGGAGCTGCCTACAAGGGAACTGGGGGAAACAGCAGCAAGTCTCTCGTTGGTTCCGCCCAGCGGGCACCACCAGCTTCAAGCCTCCAGTATCCCTTATATAAACACTTCTTGTCCATCCTTCGGATACCTATCCCTTTTTGTCTGAGATTGCCCTTCAGTCTGGTGCACTCCAGTGAATTCAATACTCAAGCGCACCACTTGGGGCTCGTGAGAGCGCGATGCCCTAGACCCTGCTCCCTGTGGTCTCTTTGGCTAAGAGCCGGATCCCATGCCTCTGACCGCACCCGATTTCCGATCTCCTTTTCCCGCACCCCGCAGTGGTACCCCGGGTCAACCCACTCCCCAGTCGGATACCGCTCTCCGCCTGGCACTAGCCACTCACCTGGACCCAGGCACAGCAACAGGAGCAGCGCCAGTCCAACCAGGGCCAGGACAGCGGGCCGCGCAGACGAGATGGCCATGGCGCGAGGGGCGCAGTGGACCGGCTGCGCGGGGGACCACTGGACGCGGGGCGAGGATGCAGCAGGGCAGGCGCGGCAGCCGGAGCTCCCGGTGTCCTTGCTGGGGGCGGGACCCGCTAGGTAGGCGACAAGCCAGCAGGCCGCGGGCCAAGCTGCAGTTCCAGCTCTGGGCAGGTTCTCCAGGCTAGCTCCGCGGGGAGCTTAGAGCGCAAGGCGCCGCATGGTCAAAGCCCCCTAAGGCTGCGGGGCAAGGACCGCTCTCCCCGCCCGGGTACCGGGCTCCTCTCTCGCCAGCCCGCCCCTTGCACCCGTTACCCCTGGTTCTATCCACCGCCTTGCTCTTGCCTTGGCTTACAAAGTAGCCTATGGAATTTCCTTCATTCCTGAGCTGCATTTGAAGTTGGTTCTGGCAGGGCCGCGTTTTATGATATTTTGAAAGACTCTACAGTCTGGGTTCAGAGGGGCAGTCCAAGAAAACACCTTAACTAAATCACTGCAGTGCAAAAGCCTTGGAGAAACCAGAAGCAGCCGCAGCTGTAAGCAAAGACCCCGCTTTCATTCTGCACGCCCTCATCCCAGGGCCTTTGAGCAACAGGAAAGGGAGGCCCAGGAGAACGTATCTCAGTACTAGGTCTGATCACACGAAGGCCACACGAATCAGGGTGCAGAACAAAAGCTGGATCGAGCTGGGGGTGCAGCTTAGAGGAACAGCCTTGCCTGCCATGCAGAGGACCTGGGTTCCATCCGCCGCAGCAGGAGGGGGTAGCAAGGACAAACTGACCTCAACTGACCTTGAGGATGGGTCCCTAAACTCTCTCTAGGCCTCCTTTACCAAACAGACTGATGCCTTTAGAGGCCTTCTCTGTGGAAGATCCACCCTAAGCTCAGGGGTCAGTCTTTTCTTCATCAAGCTTCTCACTTTTCAAGCCCAGTAGATGTTATGTACTTAGCACATGGCCACTTAAGTAGCTGTCCTTGAAATGCAATAGGGTTTCTCCAGCAGGCAGGAAAAAAAAAAAATCAACTTTGAGCTAGCAAAGGAGGACGAAGGCAACTCAAGGAGAAAAGTGAATAGTGAGCCCTGCAGGTAAATGATGACTTAGGTGGCGGAGATGTGGGAGAGAATCGGGAGCCCACTGTTGCGAATCAGGTATTTCAGGGGCTTGCTAGTGCATATTACTGGGTCATACACACCTCTTGAAATCTGATCTATCAGATGATCTTGGGTGAGGACCTAGGAGTCTGTAATTTTAAAAATAAAACAAGAAGGTTCCCAGGGCTGCTGAGGGGTGGGCCTCAGAAGGCACTGGGGAAATTCAGCTGCTGAAACTTGCCAGTCCTCTCAGTCTTCCCTGATGTCAGTAATGTGCACTTTTTCTCCCTTTGTAGACCAAGCCCAGATTTGACAGCGTGGTGAGGACGCAGGTTTTAGATTCCAGTGTTCCTGTATTATTTACAAATATATAGATAAATCACTTGTTCTGTCTAGACTTGAGTCTGTAAAGTGGGGGACATAGTATCTAGCACATTGTGGCAAGAAATCACACATGGAGAGGCTCCTATGCAGTATGAACTAAAAAAAAATGCAGTTACTCTCATCGCCTAAACTCTCCCTGGCCTCTGCTCTGCTTAGTGCTCTGTCACCTGTGTCCTTCATCTCCTCCCATCCAGCCTAGGCCAGACTCTCAGGAGCTAGCTGTCATTCTGGAAGGATGTCAGTCCACCCCACCTGTCATTTTCTTTGAGCTTTCAAACACTTCCCAACAGGATGTCTCCCAGAATACCACAGTAACCTCTACCTTAACCTCTGCTTCAAAGATAATGGGGTGACAGAAGAGCATGGACATGCCCTCAGCCAGTGGGGAACCATAGCCCAGCACTTCATAAGGAAAGTTCTCTAGGGACTATGGCCCAGGCAAAGGACAAGATCTCATTGATCACAAGAGGTTTCAGAGACAGAACCCACACAATGCCACATCCAGCTAGGCTTTGAAAAATAGCAAGAGAGCCGTGACCATGGAATGGGTTCCATTTAATCATGAAGTTAATTTAAGATTAACTTTTTTGTAACTATGTTATTGTGGAAAATATTATTGTGGTTACCTTTTAAAGCCCTTATCCCTTAGAACACAGCCTGGAAGATTTATGGGTGGGTAAAATGATTCAATGTATGAGATTTGCCTTAAAATAGTTCATGCAAATGAGTGACAGATACTGATAATTCTTTCTCCAGGAAACCATTTACACAGTGTTGGAGCCCCCAGGTGTGATGTTGTGTGTTCTAACAGTCACATGTTGAAAAAAGTGATGGTGTTATGGGTGGGTTCTGCGGAAGATGATGTGGTTAATACCCTTATAAGGGCCTCCAAAGAGATCCCTATCCCTTTTCACCACAGGACACAGTGAGAAGGTGCCGTCTATAAACTAGAAATTGAGCACTTACCAGGCACCGAACCTCCAGCTGCCTTGACTTTGGATTTGTCAACATCCAGAACTGTAGGACATCAGTTTCTGTGGTTCATAAGGGACGCAGTTTTGTGGCATGTTGTTATATGACCTCCTAACAAAGCCACATAGCTTCCCTTCTTGTATGTATCTCTTCCTCTCTTGTATGTATCTACAAATTTCCATTAAAATATAGGACCTTAGTGGTTTTAACTATAGACTATGTAACATGCATGTGACTGCCTTTCTCTTTAGTTTTTAAATGTATACCAGTAATCCCCCAAAATTAAGTTTCTGAATGTAGTCTCTGTACTTTCACAGCCTCGTGAGTCTGCCTGCACCATTCACAGTCTCTGCTAGGCCCTTGTTTCCTCATCTCTGCTACTTAGAATCCTACCATCCAAGTGTCCATCACCACTTTAAAAATGATCCCAGACATAGTGGTTCAAACTACCATATTCATTGTACTTCATGATCCTGTGGTTCAGAAGTTTGAGTAGGGCTCAGCCCGGTGGTTGTTTTGTTCCATGAAGTGCTGGTAGGGATCTCTTGCAGTGTGTGGCTAGCAGAGGGACTGACCTAGAAAGTTCCAGACAGCTCCACTCACCTATCTGGTTGCATGGTGGGGTTTCCTGGAAAGCTGGAGTTCACTGTGGTAGGTACTGCTTGTGGCCCTTTAAGCATCCCAAGAAAAGCAAGTTGCCATGATCATAGATCTTGACTTGAAAAGTGGTACAAATCAATCCCATTATATTCTATTGGTCACAGTGACCAGAGGACCCACAGCATTTAGAGCAGAGACGGAGGTCTCCTTTCTCAATGGGAGGATAGCCAAGAGGCTGTGACCTTCTGTAACCTGTTGTACTTACATCTTTCAGGGCCCAGCTCGTGCTAGCTTCCCCAAGGCTTTGCCTATTTCCCCCTCCGTCCTTTTCAGTTCCTGCGAGCCTTCTCTCTGATCCTTTCCCCACTCAGCCTTAGCTTTATTTATGTGTCTTCCTTCTCTTGTGTCCCTTGAAGACTCTCATCTTCTCCAGCGCGCCTCTTTTCTGATTACTTCACAGAGCCAATCACTGTAAATAGTTGACCAGTAAATGCATGCTGTCATCTAAGAGTGCATCATTTTGAGATTGCACAGATACTGTATAAATGAGGTCATTTGGCATGACCCCACTTTTGCTTTTATAACTTTGGTACTAGAAAAGGATATGGATACCTAGTAATAGCTCACTCTGCCAAGGACTGGACAATTAGAACTGGGGCAAGAACCTTGCCCCAGACTAGCTCTAGAAACTGGCTAAAACAATGAACTAGCCACTTTGGGGTTAATTTCATGCTCAGTGGTAGGATCTCCAAATGCCTTTCCTGTTTGTTAAGCCAGTTTCCACACTGGGATTTTAATAACTTTTGCCATTTGAAATAAGTAACTGAAGCCAAAGGTGTGGAGAGATGGAAAGTTCCTTTCAGTTTAAAAAAAAAAAAAAAAAAACATTGAGGCTCACAAAGTCCTTATTGTGTGAGGCTCACAGAAGGGTTCTGTGAACAGTGCTCACAAAGAGGTGCCCAGGACCCCACCAATACACCTGGCCTTTTAATGTCTGTACCCAGGATCCTGCAGGCAGATGTGGACCCTCAGTGCCTGTGCTTGAGACCCAAGGGCAGATGAGTGTCCAAACCTAGAATTCACTAACAGATGTAGCCTTTTAGGGTCTTAGCATCCACGGGCAGATGCAGTCCTTAGTGTCTAACAAGTCACTAACAAGTGGATGACATATATAATGAAAATATTGGACAGAGATGATTCCTATGCTGGGCTGGTTAGAGTAGGATGGCTCAAGATTTCAACAGATTAGTGTACAAGTAACATGGATGGTTTATTTCTGGAAGTTTCCATTTAATGTTTTTGGACCTTGGCTGATGGCGAGTAACTGAAACTAAGGGTTAGGGTTAGGGTGAAACTAGAGACAAAGGGAGACTTCCATATGTGTGTCAAAGGCGTTAATACAATAAGGATCATTCACGGAGAGTGAGCAATCGAGACATTATCTGTCTACACCAAGTGTATCCATAATCATCCAGGCACTCACAAGAAACCATGGCTGCCCCTGAAATATAAAATTTATAGTTTACATGACACTATCATTTCTAGCTTAACCTCCCTGGGTCCTACAGGGTGAAAAAAAAAATAGAGTTCTCAGTTTATACACAGGAACTTCAAGGGTTCAAGGTTGATTGTGCCTCAGAAGTTTTCCCTAGCATCCAAAGGTTCACCTTGCATTTTACCTCCTAGATAATCCTTTAACCATGCAGTCCACATCTTTGTTCTCCCCCAAGACCCAGACAAAATGTCCTGAATTTCTGACTGGATTCTGCCTTCAGAGGAGATCAGTCTATTGAGGATCAGCACTCAAACGTTGATACACAGTTAAAATTACATTTTGAAAGCTATCCTGAAATTGGCATTTTTTATATTTACATTTTTATTTTTTTTTATTTTATGTGTATGAGTGTATTGCTTGTATGTAGGTAAGCGCACCCATGTCATGTAGTGCCAGCAAAGGTCAGAAGAGGGCATTAAATCCCTTGGAACTTGAGTTACAGATGGTTGTTAGCTGCCATGTGGGTGCTGGGAATCGAACCCAGGTCCTCTGCAAGAGCAGCCAGTGCTCTTAACCACTGAGCCATCTCTCCAGCCCCAGAATTGGCATTTTTAAGGACTCTAATTTTCAAGATGAGTATTGTTTTCAACAAAAATGATAATGATTGGGACTGGAGAGGTGGCTCAGTGGTTAAGAGCACTGATTACTCTTACAGAGGACCTAGCTAGGTTGGGTTCCCATAATTCACATA